TGGGGATGAGGTTGTCCCACGAGTTGTCGAGCACCGAGATGATCTTGGTGCACTGTTGCATCTGCAACACGTCGCTGCCTGCCGCTGCCATCCTCGCATAGGTGTCCTTGATCTTGTCAAGGACCAGTTTCACATCATCTCCCGGTTTCATGGAGAGGGCAGCCAACTTCTTCTCCAACACAATCACCATCGGCAGCATGTTAGGCTGAATCACGTCGCGTAGCAGCTTCCATGCCTTCGGTCCGGAATCATCCAACTCCACCAAATCCTTGATGTTCTGGAACATGTCGTTGTTGACCGATTGGAGGATGAGGTCGTACAGCACCGCGCTCTTCTCAATCCACCGATCGCGGGCATCTCCTTCCCCCGGCATCTTCTCCTCTCCCATTGCAATTTTCAGCACCTTGTAGCGCTTGAAGGCGCTCCGCATCCGCCCGCTCCATTCCTCATAGTTGGAGCCATCCAAAGCTTCAATCTTGGATGGTGGCGGCTCACTCCTCTTCTCAACTGCATCTCCACTCCCTTGATTCATCTCCTCTGCTCCCAATCAGAGGTTTCAGCTCCCCCTTTTGCTGGTCACAATGTAGATCCACACAATCTTCAGAAGTGTCGGCGCCAACGAAATTTCGGCAGAGTTTCCCCTTAGCGGAAGTCACATCCAACCTCCAGAACTCCACTTAGGCACGCCCACAGGCCATGGTGGGTCTAGGAGGGCCTTCACACTTCAGTAGACTCTCCACAAAGTCCTTAATCAGCTCTGATACCACTTGTTAGAGACTAAGGACGGAGTCTATTGAGATTATGGGCGTAAATTTCTCAAAATCGTTGGTCTCAATTTCTGGACAGAAAAGTTGAGTTCACAAGAAACGCCGTCGACGAAAAGTTCACGGTCAAAACTTCACTAAACTCAGATATGATGTAGCTCTACTCCATGGCTACAATTCTCAACTTGAATCATACAAAAAAATGAAGTATTTCTTGAGTTATCAATTTCGGAGTACTAAGGGGTATGCTGCCATAGAAACTTAACTCAATCACAAGAGTCTCACACAAGTTTACACAAGAGAATTAGAGTAGCACTAAACCAGGTGGAAGGGATGAGGAGGATGAGAAAGAAGGTCCCAAGAGAGTCCCCAACCAAGGAAACCCCATGCCACACAATTCCCTTCCCCATAGGCAACCCAACTTTGACCTTTGTCACTATCCCAACCTCCACAATCCACCTCAACCCAACTTGGCCACACTTGCCAACCTGGTTTGGTTTCTCCCAACCATTTGGCAGCAGCTACAATAGAAAAGACGAATTTCCCAACCCCCAAAAGTCTGTACCCCATATTGAGTCAACCCCACAACTTCCCGCAGTTGCCACAATCATATATGAAAGGCATACGAACTCCAACGTTCGTAACTTTCTTGATCGTGCCCCGATTGAAGCAATACTTGGTTCGTCGGAGAGCTCTTGAGCAGAGAAGTCACTTCAGATATCTGCTCAAGCCAAATTACATTTGCACACACTCAGAAAATTCAAACCACACAAAACACAATTTCTTGCACACGCTCACACCACGCATGCAACGCACGAACATATGATGGGAGGCAGACAGACGTGAATGCATATGATTGCATCACATAACAGAGAGATGGTCAGGATCTTCGCAAATCTAGCAGCGGCGTCCTCCTCGATGCAAACCACTGCTTCCGCGATCATTGCCCTTCGCCGACTTCCCGCGGTCGGCGTTCTCCGTAGACTTGGTATTCGACGACTTTCCGTCACCGCCTCCACCTCCGTCCGACTTTCCACGCTGCCCCGTCTGACGTCACTGCTTCGTCAGAGCATCGTAGTTGGCCTGGGGAAGGAGCTCTGAAGACTGCTCAGACTCCTGCATGAACTCATCCTGGATGATGTGACTCGAAAGCGAATCCTTGTTCAGAGTCTCGCGCATGCCGGGAATTATCAGCATCCGGTGTGTCAGATTGTAGCTTGATACGAGGCCGTTGATGACATGCGTGACATACGACGCAACCGAGTACTCAAAGCCAACCATTTGCAGGTTGGCCAATATTCGCCATGCTCGATTGCAGTACTCTGTTGCCGATTCCTGCTCGCCCATGCGAATGGTGGCCAATCTCTTCTCCAGTTGGCTGATGTAGAGGTCGCCGGTCGCTTTGTAGGTGCGCATGATGTACTGCCACGCTTGGTAGCCGTCATCCACACGAAGTCGGCACGGCTTTAACGCGACTTGCCCTAGTGGCAATCAACACCGTGAAAGGACCTTGAAGGTCAGAAGATGAGCAGCACGAAATTCCGCCCACAATTTAAAGTTGTCTTCGAGAGCGAGTGACCTGTAGCCAGAGGAGTAGCCTGCGCCGAGGACCAGGTGAAGCCGAAGCGCTAAAGGACCTGCTGCACCATGTGTGACTGAGTCAGTGTGATGGTGCGGCGTGCTCTGTTCCGGGTGATCTGCAAGCCAAGGTAGCTACGCAGTTCACCCAGGTCTGTGCACGTGTGTCTCTTCTGCAGCTCCGACTTCACCAGGGCGAGAGCCTCAATGTCAGCAGTGGCAAAGACCAAGTCATGGACGTACACGAGGATGTAGAACGGCGGCAGCGAAGTGTCGGTGCGCAGAAACAGCGACGGGTCAGTAGTAGAAGGCGCGAACCCAAGAGCCGCAAGTGTAGTCCTCAGTGTGTCGTGCCACTTACGTGGCGCCTGGCGGAGACCGTAGACCGGCCGCTGGAGGCTCCACTGGGTACCAGGAGGGAACGACCCAGTGAAGCCAGGAGGGCGGCGCAGCCAGATCTCCTCGTGCAGGCTGCCCTGCAAGAAAGCAGTGCTGAAGTCAAGAGAGTGAAGCTCGTAGTCACGCTGAGCGGCAACGTGCAGTAGCACCCGAAGAGTGGTCATCTTTGGGGTGGGGGAGAAGGTGTGGAAGAAGTCTACTCCCTCTCACTGACTGAAGCCTTGAGCAACGTAACGAGCCTTGAAAACAGGCGGAGAACCTGGCAACCGCTTCACCCTGAAAATCCACATGTCACTGACGATGTTCGCCCCAGGGAGGGGAACCTCGTCGACGTAAGTGCCAGTGGACTTCCAATATGCCATCTCTGCGTCCATGGCTGACTGCCACTGAGAGGAGTACTCACCCGCGATCGCCTCAGCGTAAGAGCGCGGGGTCGGGATGTCTGGTGCATCCGGGTCTCCCTCAGGTGCAATCAGCATGGACATGAAATGAGGTACAGCGGCGGCAAAGCACTCAAACTCCTCCTGCGTGTCCTCAAGGACGTCCGTGCCAAGAGCACACTCACCCCCGATGGACGGAGGACAGACAGACTCAGACTCAGCAACAAGACTCACAGCGTAGTCTAGACGACAGTGAGCAGCAAAGTCGACAAACTCAGCAACTAAGGAAGACGCAGCAGCTGACTCAAAGGAAGGGTCAGTGACACCAGTGGCCAGGAGACGAGTGACAGTAGGACTAGTAGCACGAAGAGAGTCAGACTCCAGGTCAGCAAGGACAGGAAGAGAGGACGCAGGAGGAGAAGGCAACGGGACACGCTGTGGAGCAGTGGAAGGACGAAGCGCCATCTGGTGAGTGCCTGGGACAGCAGGAGGACGATGACGCAGGACATGACGACCAGTGCAAGCAGCACAAAAAGATGACGCAGACCGAGACTGAGGCAACACAGGACGAGACTCAGGCTCACGACGCTCCGTAAGACCGCCTGTCGGGCTAATGTGGAGAGAAGGACCAGGGAGTGGCGAGGCAGGCGGTAGCTGTGACAGCGACTGGACAGGCGGAGAACACTCTAAGGAGGGAGCAGAACAAGGAGGAGGCGGCTGACCAAGAACCTGCTGAAGGAGGGGAACGAAGTATGGCTGTGGCCGTGAAGTGCCCCCAGAACCTGTAGAGACAGCACTAGAACCTCCAGCAGTAGCTCCAACTCGCTCAGCACCAGCAGCAGCTCCGGTACCTCCAGCTGCACCAGCAGCACCTCTAGTAGGACCAGCACTAGTAGCACCTCCAGCAGCACTAGTACCTCCAGCAGCACCAACCCCAGTACCAGCAGCACCACCAGCAGCTCCAGCAGCTCTAGTACCTCCAGCAGCACCAGCAGCACCTCCAGCAGGGCCAGCTCCAGCAGCTCCAGTAGCACCCCTAGTCCCAGCAGCTCCAGTACCGCAAGTACGAGCACCTCCAGGACCAGTGGCTCCAGCACCTCCAGCGCCAACCCGAGGGTCAGCAGCAACACCAACTCCAGTAGGCTCAGCGCCCTCACCTCAAGCTTCAGTAGCACCTCCAGCTCCCACAGCACCACGGCGGCGGCGACAGTACCAAGAGTACCACTCACGCAGCTGGTGGGAAGAGAGAACGCCCCCAGGCGCAGCACCCCCAGGCTCAGGACCTCCAGACTCAGCACCCCCAGAAACAACACCCCCAGTCTCAGCACCCCCAGGCTCAGCACCCGCAGTCTCCGCTCCCCCAGGCTCAGCACCCCCAGTCTCCGCACCCCCAGACTCAGCACCCCCAGTCGCAGTACCCCCAGACCCAGCACCACCAGGCTCAGCACGCTTAGGCTCAGCACGCTCAGGCTCAGCACGCTCAGTACCTCGCGCAGGACCAGAGTCGACAGCTACCTCGACAGGCTCGACCGGGTCTACCTGGGAAACACCTGAGGGAGCAGGACCCTGGGGAGGCACGGGGTCTACCAAAGCAGCACCTGGTGTGAGGAAGAGCGGCGGAGGGGGGAGCGGGGCAGTGCGGTAGGGGAAGAGACGGTAAAAGGGGACCGACTCGTCAAACGTGACGTCTTGAGAGGGGAACACATGGCGCGAGGTGGGGTGGTAAAACTGCCCGCCAGGCGCGTCATGGACAAAGCCCAGGACCAATGACGGTGTGGGAGGAGGTGTGTGGGCGAATTCCTTGGGTGAATGTGGCGGCGGTGTGGAAGGCTCCATGTGGGATGTACGGGATAGCAGGGGAGAAGGACGAGACTTGAAAATGGATCCGGCGACTAAGGAGGGGAGGGGCGAGAGCATGGGCACACCTGGCGCATCCAGTCGGCCCAATGTGGCTGGCGGCAAGACGGTGGAGCAGCTCATTTGGGAGCTTGCCCAGCGGGATCGCGAAATTGCGGCACTCAAGGCAAGGCCAGGAGCCAAAGGACCTGTCAAACCCTGCACCCCTCCGTCTAGGCCTCCTCGTATTGCGTCTCTGTCGAGCGGCCCATCTGCAGTGGGCCTCGATCCAGGCGTGGCGCCAGAAAGCCCATCGACGGTAGACGTACCGGTCCGTCGAACGCGTGGGATGCCCAAGCCCAAGCTGCTGAAGGTGGGTATGTTTAAGTGTTAAGCAAGGTGTGGCATGGGGCTCAGTGATAGCTGCAGCTCTCTCTCTCAACACCTCGTTCCCCCCACCTCTTTATGCTGGTCAGAGTGTTTGTACCATTATGCGCAGTGATAGCGGCCTGGCTGCGGTGTGATAGGCTCTCCCAGTACGCCCCGCTTCAGGGACGCTGGCGCTGGGCGTACGATACTCTCACACTCTGCCCCACCTCTCCGAGCTCACCATAACTGTTCTATTTCCTCCCCCCCCCCCCTCTCTCCTGTCACTCCACATCCTCTTCCAGAGCCCCTGTTCATGGCGCTGCTTGTATGGTATGGGTGGCATGCGGCGCAGAGATAGCAGCAGCCCTCTCTGTCATCCCTACGCGCCCAATCCCTTCTTTCCGCTTGCTCCCCCCCCCCCCCCCCTCTCTATCCCACCCCTCCCCCTCCTCTTCCAGAGCCCCTCTAAACAGTGCTGCTGGTCTGGTGTGGGTGGCATGCGGCGCAGAGATAGCAGCAGCACTCTCTGTCATCCCCACGTGCCCAATCCCTTCTTTCCGCTTGCTCCTCCCCCCCCCTCTCTATCCCACCCCTCTCCCTCCTCTTCCAGAGCCCCTCTAAACGGTGCTGCTGGTCTGGTGTGGGTGGCATGCGGCGCAGAGATAGCAGCAGCACTCTCTGTCATCCCCACGTGCCCAATCCCTTCTTTCCGCTTGCTCCCCCCCCCCCCCCCCCCCCCCCCCTCTCTATCCCACCCCTCTCCCTCCTCTTCCAGAGCCCCTCTAAACGGTGCTGCTGGTCTGGTGTGGGTGGCATGCGGCGCAGAGATAGCAGCAGCACTCTCTGTCATCCCCACGTGCCCAATCCCTTCTTTCCGCTTGCTCCCCCCCCCCCCCCCCCCCCTCTCTATCCCACCCCTCCCCCTCCTCTTCCAGAGCCCCTCTAAACGGTGCTGCTGGTCTGGTGTGGGTGGCATGCAGCGCAGAGATAGCAGCAGCACTCTCTGTCATCCCCATGTGCCCAATCCCTTCTTTCCGCTTGCTCCCCCCCTCCCCCCCCCTTCTCTATCCCACCCCTCCCCCTCCTCTTCCAGAGCCCCTCTAAACGGTGCTGCTGGTCTGGTGTGGGTGGCATGCGGCGCAGAGATAGCAGCAGCACTCTCTGACATACCCACGTGCCCAATCCCTTCTTTCCGCTTGCTCCTCCCCCCCCCTCTCTATCCCACCCCTCTCCCTCCTCTTCCAGAGCCCCTCTAAACGGTGCTGCTGGTCTGGTGTGGGTGGCATGCGGCGCAGAGATAGCAGCAGCACTCTCTGTCATCCCCCCTCTCTATCCCACCCCTCTCCCTCCTCTTCCAGAGCCCCTCTAAACGGTGCTGCTGGTCTGGTGTGGGTGGCATGCGGCGCAGAGATTGCAGCAGCACTCTCTGTCATCCCCACGTGCCCAATCCCTTCTTTCCGCTTGCTCCTCCCCCCCCCTCTCTATCCCACCCCTCTCCCTCCTCTTCCAGAGCCCCTCTAAACGGTGCTGCTGGTCTGGTGTGGGTGGCATGCGGCGCAGAGATTGCAGCAGCACTCTCTGTCATCCCCACGTGCCCAATCCCTTCTTTCCGCTTGCTCCTCCCCCCCCTCTCTATCCCACCCCTCTCCCTCCTCTTCCAGAGCCCCTCTAAACAGTGCTGCTGGTCTGGTGTGGGTGGCATGCGGCGCAGAGATAGCAGCAGCACTCTCTGTCATCCCCACGTGCCCAATCCCTTCTTTCCGCTTGCTCCCCCCCCCCCCCCCCCCCCCCCCTCTATCCCACCCCTCTCCCTCCTCTTCCAGAGCCCCTCTAAACGGTGCTTCTGGTCGCGTGTGTGGCATGCGGCGCAAGCGTGTAGCGGGCCGGGCTGCAGCGGGGGTTGTGACTCTTAGTACGAGGAGAACATGACCCCTTACGCAGTCCGTACGGTGCTCTCACACTCTGCTCCCTCTCCCATATGATTTCACTCAGACTAGTTCATCCCCTCTCTCCCCCCTCTATCTCCCTTCTCTCCCCTACCTCAACCAGAGCCCCTGTTCATGGTGCTGGTGGTGGTGTGGGTGGCCTGCGGCACGTGTTACCCAAATCCCACTCTCTCGACCTCTGGTTTCCGCCCTTCTTTGGGAGTCACCCACATATCCTTTTTTCCTATCCATCCAGCTGTCGTAGGTTCATTTCGCAGAGGGGCGGGACCGGATGTGCCTCGAGGCGCCAGACCATGCCATAGACTTCTACCCAACGCTCGAACAGCGCGTGCAGGTGTTGTATGAGGTTATCAGCGAGACGCACATCATCAACATGATGCAGCTGCGAGAGGCTATGGAAGACAAAAACATCATAGGCGCTTTTAAACGCGCCTGGACGTCATGGAAGAACGAACGAGGCTTCCACCTCAAGCGCAGAGTGCTCGTCACTTTCGGCAACAAGGTGGAAGGCCTGCGTGCAGCCGAACTGTGGATGGGCACCAAGAAGAAGCGGAAGATGTGGAAAAAATACCAACCGAGTGAGTACTTGCGTGACTGTTTTCCATCCCCTATTGACATGTCTGCTCATGCACCCCTCGTGCATGCCCCACGTTGATGAAGCACGTACCCCCAATGCATCCCCACTTTGGCACGCGACTACATACCTGCTCTCCTCGCCCATGCTTGTAGCGCATGTGCAAACACATCCGCATGACAGCCATCCGTTGGTTCTTCTCCCACACTCCCCTTCTCCCGCCCCCCGTTTAACTCCCGCCCTCCTCTTCTCTCCCGCCACCCCCTTCTCTCCCGCCCTCCCTTCCTCTACCGCCCTCCCCTTCTCTCCCGCCCTCCCCTTCTCTCCCGCCCTCCCCCTATCTCCCGCCCACCCCTACTCTCCCGCCCTCTCGCCATTCATTCCCCCCCGCCCTCGATGTTCATCCATACCCTTTGGACAACCCTAAACCATGAGTCATGCATGATCACGGATGTCTCATGCTTCCCCGCATTCTCATACATGCGCGCAGGAGGGAAACAGCGGGTCAGCTCGTGGGGAAACAACAAAGACGGGCTCCCGTTTGCCAACGGCCGGTTTGTAGATGCGGTCCGGGAAGCATTTCGGAATTTCTGTGTCGGGCGCCGGGTGTGCGTCAAAGCATACCACATTGCCTGGTCAATCATGGTGGTACGCAATTATTGCTCAACCCATGGTATGCTCTAGCTTGGCATGCTGTTTTATAGTCCCTCGGCATGGTATGTGGGGCATTTAGCGCAGCCTCTAAACTCTGCACGCGAGTGTCCCCTGAAGTTGGTGTTTTTCCTCCATCCCATACTGTGCTATGCCTTTTCAGATTGACCAGGGCCTATCAAAGGTTAAGAGGACTGACTGGAACGTCTCCAACTCCCACCGGAAGAACAGTGAATGGATGGGGGGTTTGCACCGTAATGTGCGGTGGATTATCAAGGACCACTTCACACGCCACACCCCCGTGTACAACACATACGTGAAGGGCTTCAAGTGGGGCGACCGTGGGCTGTATGTTCACGAGTCAGGATTTGAGGCCTTCCGGGGGAAGGCTGAGCTTGATGCCGAAACGAAGGACCTGAAGGAGGAAGAAAAGGAGGTGTACGACTCGGAGGACATGGAGGAGGATAAGGAGGAGGAGGATGAGGAGGAGGAGGAGGAGGAGGAGGAGGATGACGAGGAGGAGGACGAGGAGGAGGAGGAGGAGGAGGAGGAGGAGGACGAGGAACAGTGGGGGCAGGAGCAGAGGAAGAGGAAAAGGCACAAGAGACCTAGGGCAGGCGGGAGGGATGAGGAAGAGGATGAGAAACGGGGGGGGGCAAGAGCTTAGGAAGGGCAGAAGGCACAAGGGAGGGAAAACCAGGGGAGGCAGGAGGGAAGCGGACGAGGAAGAGGAGAAGGAAGAGGAGCTGGGGGATAAGAAACAGGGGGGGCAGGAGCGGAGGAAGGGCAGGAAGCACAAGAGAGGCAGAGGGCAGGGAAGCAGGAGGGAAGAGGAAGTGGAGGAAGATGAGGAAGAGGAGGAGCAGGAGGATGAGAAACAGGGGGGCCAGTCGCGGAGGAAGGGTAGAAAGCACAAGAGAGGCAGAGGCAAGGGAGGTTGGAGGGAAGTGGAAGAGGAGGAAGAGGAGGAAGAGGAGAAAGAGGAGGAAGAGGATGAGGATGAGGATGAGAAGCAGGGGGGCCAGGAGCGGAGGAAGGGCAAAAGGCACGAAAATGGCAAAAGAAGGGGAGGCAAGAGGGCCAAATGATGGTGTGACGAGACAAGGGGGGATGCAGATGAGGCATGCGTGGAGTTTAAAAAAGGGGACAGCAGGAGAGGCATCACATACGTGCGAGGAGAGGCATTGGTGGAGACAGCAAGGGGGGCATCAGGGAAGGCACGTGTGGATAGAGAAAGGGGGACAGCATTACGGAGGGGAGTGGTGCAAGGGCCGCAGCAGTATAGGCATGACCGGATAGGACAAAGCAAGCAGCAGTAAAGGCTTGACTGGAGGATGTCTAAGGCGGAGCAGCAGACGCATGACAGGGCTGGACATGCGAGGAAGCAGTGGACGCACGGGCAGGGCAATAGTACCACAATTAGTGAAGGAGGGATGGGAGATGCAGGAAGAGAGGCAGGAAGTGGGGTCGCAGCCAAGGCATGGATCATGGGGGCTAGGTGTAGGGGCGAGCATGCTCGGCCTAGAGCACGAGACATGGGGTGTAGTGGGAGGCATAGTGTACGGGAGCATGAGAAGCAGGTTGATGCAGATCACCCTAAGAGGCGGGGGTCTTTGACTAGAGAGGGTGGGGTGTAGGATGCTCTTGTACGTATGTGCCTTTTTTGTTGAGAATAAAACCCATTTACCAACGCTTCAGTAATGGTCATTTTGGATGCTAGGATGAGGCAACTAAACATCTTGTTAAACAACATGTTAACCATTGCAAGTCTCCAATCCAACTTCATTATAACTAAACCGGATGTCCTTGAAGAGTACAATGCAATGAGATCCAATCTCCGAAATTACTCTGGGGGAAACTCCAACCAAACTTCTGCCGAAGGTTTTCACCTGAGAGGTTTGAACACACAAGCATCGCAGAAGCATGCGAACAGCGTTCGACAAAGCATCCAGAAGAAGGTATATACTTTCTCAAAATATCGTACCAAACAAGACGTTTATAAATCATTCAACAAAGCTTTAAAGCAACTCTTTTCAAAGGTTTTCTGGACGCAGGATTTTTGTGATGTGCCCACTACTGTCCCGATTTTGCCCGTGACGAACGTTGGCGAGTTAGGCGAAATGCTTGGTGCTCACTAATCACCCAAATGACGAGAAAAGTTGTGGGTATCTAGCGGGCATCCTGTGTATCACATAACACCTCGCCAATAATCGGTTCGGAATGAGCCCTTTCGGGTCCAAACCAAATTTGATCATTGGCTGTCACCTCCGTGTCACACGGTGCGGAGCACCAACTCCAACCACAAGTTGTGAGATGTCCAACCTCTAACCCAACCAAGAACTCAACAATGAAAAAAATATAATTGGCCAGTAATCCCTCTCCAATCACCAACCTAATCTCAACCTCCAAGCCAATCACACGTCCCAGGAAAGAAGCCACCCACTCAGCCTTATCCCCAATCTCAACCTCACCCAATCCCTCCCCTCGACAGCCCTCCACAAACTCAGTTTCACCTTCGACTTCCTGCTCGTTTCGTCAATGAGCATTTTCAGCGTCATCACAAAAAACAGGTTCCGAAACCTGTACGCGTTCGGTTGGAAATCTGACAGGCTTTCAGAAATCTTACGGGAAACTGTTGGGTTCTTCCGTCAGATTTCACACCACTGGATCGAGGGTGTTCCCATATGATTTCAAGTCAGATTTCTGTCGGACAAGTACCAACAATTTTCCGATGGTTGGCTTTGAGAAATCTGACAGTTTCCAGGCTAGTCGCGCTTCGGTCGAAACTGATTTCCCCTACAATAAGTATGATAAAAAATCAACTGTAGACTCAGTACACTGCGAAGTGTAGGTTTGAATACGTACATATAGAAAAGCAATTACCAGCAAATTTTCATCCACATTTAACGTTTCATTATAGTCACATAAAATATTGACAATACTGTAGGAAATTTTTGCTACAGTATTCTTCCTGTATAAATTAGGCATTTCATTTTGTGCTTATTAGGCTCTTTATTACAGGTGTAATGGGCATTTCACTTCTGGTGCCAATAAGGCTATATTAATAAAAAACATTTACAATTGAAGCAGTACATACAACACAAGAAACCTCTTATGGGTCATCAAGAATAGCACAATACAAGTACAATAAGAACAGAGAAACTAGGAAGCACCATATAGGTACACGGAATAACCTGCAGACATTGGTGCTGCAGCAACAGCATAACAGAACTCCATGGTACCTGCCGCAGGTGAGGCAGAACGATAAGCAAGGAAAACATCACGTTACTTCCTCACGTTAGCCGGAAGAATAGTAGCAGAAGAACTATTACGGAAAAACGTACCGGTGCGTGAATTGGCGTCACCAATTAACTACTAATCTGGGGTACAACTTGATCTGCAATCCTAGCAAACAATAAACAGAGCAGATAATCGAACTGGATTAGTCGACCGTTTGAAATGCGAATGCTCAAGGAAATAAGGTTTAAGAAACAGAGCAGATAAGAAAAACGCGCGCCAGCCGTGATGCCCAACTTTCACCCACTGATAAGTGCTGCACCAGGAAAAAAACGATGACGAGGTGGTTAAAAGAGCTACTAGAAGTCGATGGCTTCAACAATAAACCGAGGCCAAGTACCGTACCTGCTAATAGGCATGGAGCGTGGTGAGCTGGACAGGAAGGAAGGAAACCTGATAAAAACTGGAAAAATGAACGGAGAAGTGACGAAAGGGAGGGCTGAAAGAGAACGACGGGAGGGATCACTGAAAACGGCGCACCAGCTGCTGTTGCTCTTGCCCCGTCAGCAGGGCAGATTGGGTTGTGCTGGGTGGGATGTGCTGTTGGGGGAGTCGCAGGTGCGCTGGAGGTCGCAGGTGCGCGCTGGCACTTGCGCTGGCAGCAGCTGCACAGTTGGCAGTTGCACCAATTGCGGAGCTCCACTCTTTTGCAGTCCAGCGCACTGAAAACAGCGCACCAGCTGCTGTTGCTCTTGCCCCGTCTCAACTGTTTGCTGCGAGAACCTCAACCTTTTACATTTTGATTGCTGCTAGATTATTCTTACATTCGAAATAATAAGTTTTCAATCATCAATAAATTAGTTACATGAGGAATTTAAGGAGTATTTTTTGGTTTCATATTTAATATATGTGTTTCAAATGCCATTATTTTCTTAGAAAATGAATTCTTGAACTAGTCGATACATCTAACCTACCACTAAAGGGAGTCACTAAGCAACGAAGGTGGACTATGGAGGAGGGCACGGGGTTGTGCGAGTGATCGTAGCATTCTGCTGGAGTTCTTGCTACTTGCAAATGAAAGTTGGAGATTTGCCAAGAGTTTCCACTAAGGAAGTTGAAAGAACAACTTGCAATGAAAAGTTGATAGCAAAGGTTAGGATCGACTTTCGCCAATCAGTAATGTACGTAATTCCGGATAAGAATATGCTTTGATACATCTAGCCATTTTACGTCTACAGAGAGAAAGAGAGAGAGAGAGAGAGAGAGAGAGAGAGAGAGAGAGAGAGAGAGAGAGAGAGAGAGAGAGAGAGAGAGAGATAGAGAGAGTGTATATATGTGTGTGTGTGATAGAGAGAGAGAGGAAACAAGAGAAAAAGAGAGAGAAAGTGAGAGAGAGAGAGTAAGAGAGAGAGAAAGTGAGAGAGAGAGAGAGAGAGAAAGAGAGAGAGAGAGAGAGAGAGAGAGAGAGAGAGAGAGAGAGAGAGAGAGAGAGAGAGAGAGAGAGAGAGAGAGGAAACGAGAGAGAGTAAGAGAGAGAGAAAGTGAGAGAGAGAGAGTAAGAGAGAGAGAGAAAGTGAGAGAGAGAGAGAGAGAGAAAGAGAGAGAGAGAGAGAGAGAGAGAGAGAGAGAGAGAGCAAGAGAGAGAGAGAGAGAGAGAGAGAGAGAGAGAGAGAACGTCCAAATGCCCTTTTTACCACTATTTCTTCACACACTTCTCTACTGTATCCTATTTCCTAGCCATAGGAACTGGTTTGACCTCGTTAGCACAACTACGCAGCACGGGGCGCATGTTTGTGCATTTGTTGGCCTTAAACAGTGCAAGGATAGGCATGTGCGCAACACGTCACTGCGCCAACGTCTGGATGTTTTTTTTAGCACTATTTCTTCACACAGCTCCCTACTACATCCTATTCCCTAGCCATAGGAACTTGTTTGACCTTGTTAGCACAACTACGCAGCACGTGGCGTATGCTTGTGCGTTCGCTGGCCCGAATCTGTGCAAGGATAGGCCTGTGCGCAAGATGTCACTGCGTCAACATCTAAATGCATTTTTTACCACTATTTCTTCACACAGTCCTCTACTACATCCCACTACCTAGCCATCAGAACTGGTTTGACCTCGTTAGCCCAACTACGCAGCACGTGGCGCATGTTTGTGCGTTTGCTAGCCCGAATCTGTGCAAGGATAGGTCTGTGCGCAAGATGTCACTGCGCCAACATCTAAATGCCCTTTTTAGCACTATTTCTTCATACAGTTCTCTACTACATCCTATTATCTAGCCATAGGAACTGGTTTGACCTTGTTAGCACAACTACACAGCACGTGGTGCATGTTTGTGCGTTCGCTCGCCCGAATCTGTCAATGATAGGTCTGTGCGCAAGATGTCACCGCGCCAACGTCTAAATGCCATTTTTACCTCTATTTCTTCA